AAACTTGAAAGGCTGTCCTGCAGAGGAGGGACTAGATCTGTTCTCGATCATCCCAGAATGCAGGACACGCAACAATGGGCTCAAGTTACAGGAAGCCAGATTTCAGTTGAATATCGGGGGAAAACTTCCTAACTGTTAGAGCAGTACGACAGGGGAACCAGTGACCTCGGGAGTTGCTCCAACACTGGGGGCCTTCCAGAAAAACTTAGACAACCACCTGGCAGATCTCCTTTGATATGTATTCCTACCTTGAGCAGGGGGTTGGACTTGATGGCCTTGTAGGCCCCTTCCAACTTCACTTTTCTATGATTCGGTCCATCCATCATCAGCTCCCTTCCTCCCTCCCTCCTTCCCTTTTTTTTCTTTTCTCTCTCAACCAGCATTGTTTTGTGAATAGCCCAAGATGACCAATTTCAGGGGCCAGTGGAGGAGTCAGGACACACAAATATAGCCCCTGATGGGAGAACTTCCCTGTTGGTGGGTGGGTGGATGGATGGATGATCTGTCTGTCTGTGTCTGTCTGTCTGTCAAGAATATTTTTACCCCGCCTTTCTCCTTGAAAGGAGCCAAGGTGGCTTAAATCATTAAAATGACAATATTTAAAAGCTAAAAACAATAAGTATACAAGTTTTTTTTAAAAAAGAATTAAACAAGCATTATATTAAGAAGGGTCAATGAAATCAATACTCAAAACACATTTAAAACTTGCATTCTGCTCCAAGGTCCATTTAAACGTATCCCTTCATTTGCACTGGAGCGAAATGTGTCTGTGGCAGTCACACTACAGACACTTCACTCCCTGCAGATGCTCGCACGCACACACACATATACACACTCTTGAGTTGGCCAACTTCCTCGAGGGATCCTGATCTAAAGCATCCCCAACTTAATACCAAGCTGATTCCATTAAAATCTCTCCCAGAAAGAACCTTTACATTATAATACAAAAGCTGAGCCAGGGCTCCCTTGCCAATAAAGGAGGCAGTCTGCAGATCTAATCTCTTTAACAGCTTTCAACTCTTTTTCAAGGACATTTAATCTTCTTGAGAGTGAAAAGCCTTGATGTTCACTCAGCAGATTTGCTTTTTGGCTGGGGACCTGATGGATGGCTACCTGACTCATGCCAAGGGTCATAGAGTGGTGCGGGGGAGGGGAAGGGTTCTGACCTTTCATTTCATTACTAGAGATGGGGACAAAATTCAAAACAGGCAATTTGTTTTGATCTGTTATTCGTCAAGGTTAACGGATCAACGAATACGAATCTACGAATATTCTTCGACAAATCGATCTGTTGAGTCATCTGCACTTGAAATGGCTATAACACCGGCCCCCAACTACCTAGAGACACCAAATTTACAGGGAAGTTTCCTCAGACGCTTTCCTACAACTCCTGAAGGCCTGATGAACATTGGATCAAGTTATATGGTCATAAAGAGGTCCCCCCAAGGGAAGCTCCCCCCAAGTACTTAGAGACTCCAGAATCACAGCAGAGCTTCTTATGTATTCCCCCAACATGCCTACCAGCTTTGGTGAAGATTGGATATCGGACATCTGAGTTATTCACCCACAAATTGAGTCTCCCCAGGAGAGTTTACCACACGGCAAAGAAGTCCATTCTGCCTACCAGCCGCCAGACAGCTGATCAGAAGCCCATAGGCAGCCACACACACACACACACAGAGCCTACCCCCATGCCCCTTTCCCTACCTTAGCCACCACCCCACTCCCAACAACACCCCCTTACCTTAATAGCTACTGCCAAAGTCTCCATCAGGCCTTCGTAGCCACAGCATATAAAAGGGGAGACTGGCTGCCCTTTGCAAAGATGGCGACTGTGGCTTCGTTTAGGGTAGGGAAGTTGCAGGTGCCATCTTTGCAAAGGGCAGCCTGGATTCCCTTAAGGCAGGCTATAGAAGAGAATCATAAGGTAAGTGTGGAAGGGATGGTCCCTCTTGAATTGGCCTTTTCAGCTACACTAGACGCTGTTCCAAGACCTCTGTTCAGAGCACGTGACCATCATCTCTCGAGACTGAAGGGTGCCTACTTATAAGATAATTGAGTTGGAAGGACCCTCTAAGGCCATTGAGTCCAACCCCCAGATCAATGCAGGACTCCAAATCAAAGCAGATCTGACCGAGGGTAGTCTATATTTCTCTTGAATGTCTCCAGTGTTGGAGCGCTCACCAACCCCCCTTGAGGTCATGAGTTCCATTGTCATACTGCTCTAACGGTTAGGAAGTTTACCTGATATTCAGCCAAAATCTGGCTCCCTTTGACTTGAGCCCATAGTTGTGTGACCTGTGCTCTGGGATGATTGAGAAGCGATCCTGCCCCTCCTCTATAGGGCTACCTTTCAGGTACTGTATTTGAAAAGTACTATCCTATCTTGCTCCCAGTCTTCTTTTCTCAAGGCTAAACATGCCCAGTTCTTTTACTCTTTCCTCACAGGGTTTGGTTTCCAGCCTCCTGATCATCCTTGTTGCCCTCCTCCAATTTAGTTCCAATTTGTCAGCATTCTTCTTGAATTGCAGTTTCTGGAACTGGAGTAAGTCATGAACAAGATGCTGGATCCATTCCTTAATATCAAAAAGCAGGCTAGCTTCTCAGTCTTGCAGAACAGCCTCCATTTTGGAACTTTGCCTCAATGTCTGGCCAGGATGAACTTGGCTCTTTTCTGCTTCTTTCCTCCATTACAGTTCAGCCATGTCAACCTGCTGAAGAAGTCCCTACAGGACTTAATACCTAGCCTGTTTTAGAGAGCTTAGTGGGACTCCACTGACTTTCCTTTGCACCTAGAAGGACCATAAACCAGAGTCAGGAATGGCCTACATGTTCCATAATCCTTCGCCCAATATGGCCACTGGCCATACAGGTTCTGGGCTTCTTGGGGGCCGTCATCCAAAAAGTAATTTTCCTGTGCGTTGCTTTTAAAATCAGAAAGCTGTCTGTACCCTTGTGATGCTGAGCCGGCTAGCTTCCAGCCATCACCATCAGCTGGTAACTAATCCCCACACCTAAAATTCACTTACAACAGGAATCAGAATGATTGTTTCCAGACTGGCTGTTGCATGTTTACCCTGAGGTGCTAAGCTCTATTTAATGGCCCTCACTCCTGGGTAAATGGGTTCAGGGCTACAAGGCCATTTGTGCACTAAGAAATACATGCAGGGGGGAATCTGAATCACACATATGGACTTTGTCCATTCAATTTCCACAAGTCCCATTTCCAGGAGAGGTGACATACTGGGCCTTAAACCTACAGGAATTCCCTGCCCTGCAGGCCATACTCCACAGAATGGAAGGATAGAACTGACCGTTTGTTCCCAATGAACAAGTTACAGCATGCCAGGATTTGTTGATCATGACATCCCATTTAATTATTCCAAACTGGGAACAGCAGCTTGGCATTTCCCAGCAAAGACAGGTGAGTTTATTCAATGTGTGGGACCCCAAACCATTGCACACACACTGATGTGCGTGTCTTGTGCACCCCTGTCTGTTTATGACACTGGAGGCAGGTGAAGGCAGCGCCAGCGTGAGTCACAGATCTGAACCAAAGGATTCTCTGTTTCGACCCCTAAGGAAGGCAATGCCCTTCTTTTGCCCTGGGGCTGCCTTCCCACTTCTGAATGAAGAGAGCAAGAAAATGACATGCAAAATTCTCACATTGGTGAAAATCTTGCTATTTGCTTTTCTGAATCCCTCCAACTCTGCCACTAACACGGACAATGTGAAGCTAAAAGTGGAGCTGAAAGATGATCCAGTCCAACAATCAGTTGGTCTCAGTAGGTTTGGGGGGGGGAGATTTGCAATGTTCTGTTGAGAACATGCACCTTTTGATTCCTAGACAGAATGTTTCTAAAGACTTTTAAGCCATGACCCAAGAGTGTTGCGAAGTGAGCCAGATTATGAGAAGGTGAAGAAGAAGAAGAAGAAGAAGAAGAAGAAGAAGAAGAAGAAGAAGAAGAAGAAGGGATACAGCTGAGATGCACAAAGTGAGTGTTCTTGAACCATTTAGAAGGACAGTGTTATCACATTTAATTTATACATAACCATAGTGCTTTCACATTTAATTTATATATAAGTGCCAAATTGCCATGGAAGTCCAACATAATCACATTGTACCTCAGAAATAGAAACTTATGAAAAAGTAGGTGATTGGTAAAAATGAAGTTGAAAGCAAAAGTCAGTAGGGTCATATTTGTTTATTTATTTATTTATTAAATTGGGAGCCCACCTTTCTGCCCCAAAATGGTACCCAAGGTTCACACAGACATATGGCGCTCACAAAAAGAGAGACACGTAAGCAAAATAAATAAGCTAGGCAATCAGATCAGAGGAAGGTACGCAAAGGAGAAAGCTGGGCTGGAATCTTGCAAACTTAGGCAAGCGCCCCATCAGTCAGCCTGGGAGGGTACCATCCAGACTCGACCACCTTGTTTTGCAGCAGCTGCTGATCTAACCCTGGGATAAATTAACTGTTGATTAAAGGGTCGTTTTTAGCTCCTTCTGCTCTCAACCACCTCCCCTATGATACTCCTTTCTCCCATTCCTAATTAGAAGCAATTTTTAAATTATAGGAATTCCTGGGAAGGGAAACGGGGGGGGGGGTTAAGACTGAATGGGAAACCAACGTGGCACAAGGGACTCTCCCATGTTCTGAAAGGATATTTTCCCTATAAGATCTTTAACTCCTGGTGGTAGCAAATCTCTAGTATGTGGCTGCACATGTTTATGCATGGCCCACTGCAATGGTTTTAAATGTTTAATGTTGCACATGTTTATGCATGGCCCACTGCAATGATTTTAAATGTTTAATGTTCTCCTTTTCTCTCTCTCTCTCTCTTTTTAACCAGCCAGCAGCCATGCCTTTTAGAGGTCACCTTTTGCTCGCCTGCGCCAGAGTGACTTCCATTTTTAAACACCCTGCTGACATGCTTCCCTTTACGCCGGCCACGTGCTGGCCTTCATTAATGATGCATGCTCAGCTTTCGAGATGTCATTTCATCCCGTCGCTGCAGCCAGCCCTTTTCCTCTTCAAAGGCAGGTGATGTGGCAGGTTCATGGACAAGGAAGAGGAAACAGAGTCACGGGGAGGCTCCTGGACACGGCGGCTGGCCTCTTTCTCCTCTTAATACGTGGGGAAGAGTTTTGAGCACGGCATTCTTTATCTGTGAAGCCAGGGGGAATCTGGTTTGCTGGTGAGGATCACGTGGGAATTCCACCGAGGTTTTGCTTCTACAGAGAAAAAGATTCACCCGTGAGCTGATCTTTCGCTGGGAACCCCAAAGAAAGCTGTGATTTCAGCTCGGTACACCTTCCGGACGGAACTATTGCTAAGACAAGAGGGTGGCCTAGCTCAAATGTACAGACCGTTAACCGCACTTGGTCAGATAGAAAGAAGGTCAAAAAGGACCTCTGATATGTGGCTTTGGCTCAGTTTCATCCATGTAGGCTATTTGGTTGTAGAACAATCAGAAAACTACCGGAAATGGACCGGAGGGGTCGCAACTCTGCACTAAACAAACAGCAGAGAGGCAGGCAGGCCCCCATGTTTTCTGGTCTCTGTGTTTAAGAAAGGAGTTCCCGGCCTCTGTCAAATACAAAGTAATATTTGGTTTCCCTTCATTTCACCCCTGGGGACTTACTTTTGTGAGTGTGAGCAATTACAGGCATTGTCTGCATGTGTCTGAGTTTGGATTCAAACAGCTTCGCCCAAAGTCTGTTTCTTAGGATGTGAAATACCAATAACTGGTTTCCTCCATTTCGATGCACATCGTTGTCCTTAAAATGTGGGTGCTAAACTTTCTTTCCATGCCAGAAAAGAAGCCTTATCTCACTGATCTTTCCAGCAGGAGTCCTTGAACCCTAAGGACTTGACCCGATTCCCCACTTGCATATCAGCAGTCCTGGCTGATGTTTGCCGTTTCTGTCATCGGAACGATTTCATTCTCAACCAAGGTTTGCCCCCCTTCTCCATTCAGCTGCCTCATCCTCAAGTTTATGGATCCGTAAGTCTTCCGGGACGCTCGGGAAGCTAGGAGGTTCCGCCTCCTGTAGTATTCCCCTTGACAGATGGACACCATCAGGAGAATGGAGAGGAGCATGCCCCCGAGCGTCAACAGACCTAAGCCAGCAATGATGCACTTGTCTAGGTGGGACCCCAGGCGGGCATAGTACATCTCCAGTCTTTCCATCTCTCTGGCAGACACGGTGTCCGGATCAACGCGGGCCTCCCGTGGGATGCTGTAAGCCACAATCACCAGCAGAATCCCACTTACCAAGAACACTAACGCCAAAACGAAGACGTTGTCCACAGAGTTCTCACTTCTGCCCAGCAAAGGGATATCCTCTGAACGAGGGGAGAGGTCTCCCCTCGGGGGTACTGTCTGCTCCCTGGAGCTGATTCTTGTGCCCTGGCCAGTCGTCCGGAAGGAAGTTTCGGCCTCTTCCTCTTCCTCCTCCCCCGGGTAAGAGGCATTCTCCAGTCCTGCATGGGGAGCTCTCCATGGTGCTGGAGGTTCCCCCTCAGGGGTTCTGTGGCTGGGCCCTGGGCCATTCCCCAAGACGGTCAGTTCCAAGGGACGTGAGGACGCCATTCAGACACAGTCCACTGGAACATCCCTCTCAGCGCTTCATCTGCTAACACAGAACAACAGAGAGGAACAGAATCAGTGAGAACTGCGCGCGCTCTGGCATCAATCCAACAAACCCCACATCTCCTGAGGCTGCCTAATTTCTGGAGGGCAGGGGGAATAACCCTCAACACGAACCCTATCTATCCTTTAAGATGTTTTTTCTTTGTTGTTTCCCATGTCCATCTTATAGCACAGTGGCTCCCAACGTTCTTGGACTGCAACTCCCAGAAGCCTTCACCCCACCAGTTGTGTTCGCAAGGGCTTCTGGGAGTTCCAGTCCAAGAATATCTGGGGTCCAAGGTCAGGAGCTGCAGTTGTAGCACTTGGTTGGTCCCGATGACAACAAAATGTTGGACTTGATAGTCTTTGGGTCTGATCCAACCTAGCATTTCTTCTTATGTCCTTCCGCCAAAAGATCGCCCGTTCACCAACTATTCCCATTTGCCTTAAACCTACAGCAGAATGGGGTGATATCTTTTCATTTCCTTCCCCTCCTAAACTCTAAATGGTCTCTTCTAAATTATGCAAAGCATGGAAAAAATTAACATATGGGACTACAGCACTCAGAACTTTCCAGCCAGCATGCATGACTCCTCCCTGGGACAGGGGTGTTTGCTAGGAATTGTAATTTAATGCAAAATATTTTCATCCCTGCTCTTATAAAGTCTGTCTGGTCACCAGAAAACACTATTTCAGTTATTCGCCCATAGAAAGTCTGGGATGGCTCATTGTGCCCATTGGAGCATGCTGATGGCACCCAGTTCTCGTGCTGCTGGAAGGCTTCCCAGTTGCCCGGCCAAAACCCTTCTTGAACAAGGAAAATCAGTCCTAAAACCTCTGCTGATGACTGTTAAACAATCTGCCCTTTCCTCTGGCCCAGTGGTTCCCAACCGTGGGTGCTCAGATGTTCTTGGACTACGAATCTCACAAATCCTGGCTAGCACAGCTAGTGATGAAGGCTTCTGGGAGTTTTAGTCCAAGAACATCTGGGTCACCCAAAGCTGGGAACCACAGCTCTAGATTATTTCCATTAAATCTAGACCACCCCTGGTGAATCACACAGAACAAGGTACAGTATGTTCTATGTGGCACGTCTACAGGAATTTCCAGGTGGCTCTCATGTCCCACCTCCCTACCCCAAGACTTCTGCTCTTCAATCTAGACATTTCTATGTCTTCCAATGTTCACTGTCTTCTTTGTTTTCCATTCTGCAGTGGTATCGTCCTTCTCTGAAAACTCCCATTACAACCCACCCCTTCTGTCTCTATATCTTTCTTGAGGCCTGGATCCCCATAACTAGGCACAGAACTCCAGATGGAGTTGAACGAAAGGAGAAGTAAAGAATTAACAAAACTAAACAGTACCATTTGCCACAATTCAGAAAACGGCAGCTGTGTCCATGCAAGCCATAGCCATTCATACAACTCAACCCAGTTCTACAGAGGACGAGTTCACCTCTTTTGAGAAGCTGGTGACCAGCCCCCTAAGTTCTCCCTCCCTCCAGCAAAGGCAGAGTCTACAGTTCAGTGCAGCTGTCCCAGTTTTTACTGCCTCGTGCTGATTTCTACACTCTCTTTTCCCTTCCCTCTCCTTAGTGCTGACCATAAGGCCATGATTCTGAGGCTTCCTTTGTCTAATAGTCAGTGGACAGTACTCAGTCCACTCCCTCTTTAGTCAGGCCATTGAAGGAACTATCCAAGATGCTGAACCTATTTGGGCAGAAAGGTGTAGCTCATTGATGATCTCCTGTAAAGGTCTGATAAAACCCAGAGTGGATTTACTGCCTTTGGGACCTTGGAATCACAACTGGCCAAACTGCTTATGTCCCTCTGAAGAGAACCTGCTTCTCATGTGAAAAAGTATGGGCTGGTGGGCAGTCAAAACATATCCCCCACCACCAACAACTTCATTGTTGATGGGATAAACAGTGCAGAAGCAGGCAGCACATAATCTAGGATCCACTCTCCACTTCTGACATCATCACCAGCATCATCATCGTTACCATCTTCTACAACATCCTCTTTCTAAGGAGCTCAGAAACACATCCACAGTCACTAGCTTTGGTAGATTACGCCAAGACAGGTGTGGGAAACTGCTTTCTGCTGAATTCTATTTTGGAGACATGGGTTGGCGAGGGGGGGGGCACGATTCAATAGAGGGTAGAGCCAGGGTGAAAGGAGGTGGGACCAAAAAGGACCCAGGCTATTTCAGGGTAATATTCTCACTGCCAGCCACTCAACTTTGCAGACAGCATTTCAGCCTATTAAATTGGAGTGGGGGCGGGACATGTACAAAATCCTGGGAGTCAGAAAATCATGATGTCATCAGGAAGGAGGTGTGGCCCCAGCGGGAACCCAGGCAGCCAAATTAGAACCTATGGAAGGGCAGATTCGGCTCCACAGCTCGAAGGTGTCCACCTTGGTCCAAAAGAACCCCGTTGGCCCAATGCTACCCATGAGCCTCTTGACTCATTAAAGCATGGGTCACCAATGAGAGCCCCAAAATCTAATCCCTATGACTTTCCTGTGCTATAAACTGGATTTTAGGGTCATCTCTGCAGTTGTGTGAAGAAAGTGTAAGTTTCCATGGTCCTGGTAGACAAGATCTTGGGTCTTGCTCACATAGGTGTTGCTACTGTGCCGTTGCTCAAGTCTGCAGGTGAAAAAAAAATATGTGCGCCTGGCACACCACCTCTCTGTGGGAGGGGAGCATAGGAAGAGGTTAAGCAAAAACATCATGAAGAAGGCAGCTGAGTCAACACCTCTTGCCTGTGGAGCTAGAAGGGAAAGAAAGGTCACCAGAAATGGATGAGCACGGAGGGGTCCTTTTCTGGGCACATAATAAAAATAACCGTCCCTGCAGATCAGTGTGGTTTTTAGTGTATTTCAGCCAGTGTTAGGATGCTGGACTAAGATGTCAGAGGTCTGGGTTCAGATTCCTGCCCCCACCCCACCGCCCCAGCCATGAAACCCCCAGGGTGACCTTGGACCAGCCACATGGTCTCACCCTAATCTACTTCATGGGGATCTTGTGGCATAAAATGGGAAGGAGGAGAACCAGAGATGCTGCCTTGAAGTCCTTAGAGGAAAGCTGGGATATTAATATAACCAGTAACAACAGCAAGAACAACAAAAAATTCTTCCACCTAACCCGCCCCTTTCCTTAAAGGCACCCCCGCAGGCACAGGACTGTAGTAGCTGCAGCTCCGCCCGGGATTCGGGGTTGCGAAGGACCCAGGCGTGACACCCCTTCCTCGCTCCGCCTGGCTGCGCATCACCGCAGCCCACGGACCCACGCGAGTGGGAAGGGTCTGCGCTGCGCTCAGCAGAAGGTGTGGCCTCCACAGCACCAGGCTTGTAGAGGGGGGGCGCACTGAACCTTGTAGAAACTGTGGGCTGTTTGAACCTTCGACTCCCAGGCAGAGGCGTTCAAGGGCTGGAGCCCTCCTCTACAACCCGCCCGCCGGCTTGCCGCCTCTCCAGAGCTCCGGGGCTGGGCAGGGTCTTTCCGAGGGATCGGACTCCCATCGGCCCCAACCCCACTGCCGCCGGGGGAGGGGGGAGATGATGGGTTATGTAGTCCGACACCCACCCACCCCCAGGGAGAGAGAGGGGCTGCTCTGCGGCCACCTGTCTCCCACCGGCCGGTCGGTGGAGGGAGCGTGCCTGGCTCGTCCATTCCCGCACGCGTCCTACGTGCCGGGCAGGATTAATCCACCGCTGCTCTCCCTCCCGGCTCCCTCCTCGCCCCTCCCGCCCTGCCCCAGGCTTGCTTATCCTTCAGGAATCTTTTCTCTCCCACCCCACCCCAAACCATGGAAGCCCGGCGAGGGGGGGGATCGCTGTCTTCTCCCTTCCCCCGACCCTACCTCTCCTTGCCCGGCCCGGCTGCTGGGCTACCTCGGGCCGCATGCTGCCTGGCGAGGAGCATCCAGCGGCGGCTCCTCCGAGCTGGGGGGCCTCCTCGCGGCAAGCGACCATGGATGCTGTGGCTGATGCTGATGCTGCTGATGCTTCGCCCGTGGGCTCCTCCTCCTCCATTCCTCCCTCCCTCCCCCCCCCTCACGATGGACCAGCCTGAAG